TACAAACTGTAAAATATCTAGGTTTTTTTTTCAAATCTCAACATATTTTGTCATTTAAAAGTCATCTTCATTATTGCAGTCCGTTAGGAACCCACGGCTGAACATAGGATTCGCGCAGCCTGTCATAAATGGCAGGATTTCAATCCATTCTAGTAATAGGTCACCCTAAACTGTGTTTGTTTGCATAAGGATGTGGCTTGAGAACCGATCCTGAATACTAGTTGTCTCTTCACTTTACATTCCGTTGTGCTACGTCCATTACAAGGATACTACTACAAATAAATCCAAAGGCCCAATTCCGCCCCCAGCCCCCCCTCAACATGGTAGCGGAATTACACGAAAGACTACCCCAGGAGGATACCAGCACCCCTGGGGAATCCCTCGCTGAGCATCCACGACCATGTTATTCCACTCCTGAGCGTGGGTGCTCAGGCTGCCCCGCGTATTCTGGGGGGGGGGGGGGGATTCCGCTCAAAAACATAACTGCTCGGGGCAAACTGAGCAACAATACCAAGGCGACCACTGCCCCGCTATCCGTGAATTTCTCCAACATCAGGGGACTTCACTCGAACCTAAACGCCGTCCACTACCATCTCGAGACGGCTAAGCCGGCCTTGCTCCGACCAAGACGCAGGTGTCCTCTCCGGCTGATACTTCGTATCTCTCCTGCCCGGGGTACAAATTGGAGCACTCCTTTGCGCCTCGGGCAGGAATTTGCATGTATGTCAGAGAGGACATCTGTTCTCGACGCGTCGGCAGTCTTGAAGGTTCGGACCTGTCCATCCTTTGGCTACGCGTAGACAGCGACCACCATCCACGCGTCTACGGGTGCCTCTATAGGTCCCATAGCGGTAATGCCGAAACAGACCGACTCATCGACCACGTCCAAATGGCTACAGATTCCATGCTACAACAGGTCCCATTCGCAGAGATCGTGATCCTTGGCGATTTTAACGCCCACCACGCCGAATGGCTCGGTTCACGTTTAACCGATCATGCGGGGAGAACTGTTTATGACTTTGCCTTGGCATATGGTCTGACACAACTGGTTACTTCGCCTACGCGGATTCCAGATGTGGAGGATCATACACCTTCCCTGTTGGACCTTCTGCTGACCTCTCATACGGACGGATATCAGGTTTCTGTCGATGCCCCTCTCGGCTCTTCGGACCATTCTCTGATCCGGAGTGTGGTGCCACTCACGCTCCCCTCGCGGTTGCGTTTTGCAGGTTGCCGCCGTGTTTGGCATTACAGGTCGGCGGATTGGGACGGAATGCGGTCTTTCTTTGCATCCTACCCATGGGGCCGGGTTTGCTTCTCGCCGGATGATCCCAGCGCTGTTGCTGACTCTGTCACTGATGTGGTGCTACAGGGAATGGAAATATTTATTCCATCATCTGTGGTACCCATCGGAGGCAAATCCCAGCCTTAGTTTGGTCGCTCCTGTAAGACTGCATTACGCTGTAAGCAGGAGTGTTATAAAGCCTGGGCTGCGGCTTCGGCGACTCGGGATGTAAACACCAGCACACTTAAAAAAAAGTATAAGTTCGCCTCCAGGTCCTTCAAAAGAAATATTGCCAAGGCAAAGTCAGAGCACATAGGCAGAATTGGCGAGACACTAGTTTTCCTTCCGTCGGGAACCCATGCAATCTGGTCTCTCGCCAAGGCTGTCCAAGGGAATTTCTGTAAACCATCACTCCCATCTCTGCACAGGGAGGAAGACTCACTGGCCCATGCCGCAAAAGACAAAGCCAACCTTTTAGGATCCCTTTTTGCGTCCAACTCGACTCTAGATGATGGCGGGGAAACACTGCCGACCATCCCGCGGTGTGAGTGCTCCATGCTGGATGTGATGTTCTCGCAGCGCTCGGTTCGTAAAGCACTCCTCTCCTAGGACATCCAGAAGTCGAGTGGGCCTGACGGAGTCCCCCCAATTGTGCTGAGGACGTGAGCTCCGGAGTTAGCACCGGTCCTAACGAGTCTTTTCTGGTACTCCTACTCCCAAGGCGTAGTCCCGAATTCATGGAAGACAGCTCCACCCGATCCCTAAAAAAGGCGACCGCTTAAATTCGTCCAACTATAGGCCTATCGCGATCACCTCCTTGTTCTCCAAAATAATGGAATCCATTATCAACTGCCAGCTCATGCGGTACCTTGAAGATCACCAGCTGATTAGTGACCGCCAATACGGTTTTTGTCGGGGTAGATCAGCTAGTGATCTTCTGGTCTACCTGACCCATAGATGGGCGGAAGCAGTAGAGTCCAAGTGGGAGGCGTTGGCCGTTAGTCTGGACATTGCGAAGGCCTTCGATCGGGTTTGGCACAAAGCGCTTCTTTCGAAGCTCACTTCCTATGGGCTTCCCGAGAAATTGTGCAATTGGATCACCAGCTTCCTTGCAGATCGGAGCATCAAGGTCGTTGTAGATGGTGCATGCTCCGACTACAAGCCTATTAACGCTGGTGTTCCACAAGGCTGTGTGCTATCACCAACGCTGTTACTTCTGCATATCAATGATATGTTGCTAACTGGTAACATTCATTGCTATACGGATGACAGCACTGGTGATGCTTTATACACCGGCCGTGCAAATATTTCTCGGGAAAACGTCGCTGAGTACCGGAACAAAATTGTGTTGGAAGTCGAGTCTTTGCTGAACAAAATCTCGGATTGGGGGCGACTAAATTTAGTCCAGTTTAATCCTCAGAAGACACAAGTTTGCGCGTTTACCGCTATAATGAACCCCTTTGTCGTATCTCCTCAGTTTCAAGGCACTCCCCTTCTTGCCTCTGTCAGTATCGGAATCCTCGGAGTCGACATATCGAGTGACGTGCAGTTTGGTGGTCACTTGGAAGAGAAGGCCAAATTGGCCTCTAAAAAGCTTGGCGTACTCAGCAGAGCGGTACAGTATTTCATGCCGGCACACCGCCTACAACTTTACAAGACGCTAGTTCGCCCTCACATGGTATACTGTTCCTATCTCTGGGTAGGGGCTCCCCAGTGCCAGCTCCTTTCACTTGACCGCATCCAGCGCAAAGCGGCTCGAATCGTCGACGACCGAGTTCTTTCCGATCGGCTCGATTCATTGGGACTGCGAAGAGATGTTTCATCCCTTTGCATTTTCTTTCGCATCTACCACGGGGAGTGCTGTGAGGAATTGTTCGTATTAATCCAAGCCGCCAAATTTTACGAAAGCACATCGCGGCTGAACTCTCGATATCATTCATACCATCTGGATGATTGGCGGTTCACTACTGTGCAATTTAGAAGATGTTTTCTTCCTCGCACGACTTCCTCGTGGAATCGATTACCATCTGCGATTTTTCCGGCACCATACGACTTAGGGACCTTCAAGAAAGGAGCCTATTCCTTTTTAAAAGGCCGGCAACGCATCTGCAATTTCCCTGGTGTTGCGGTTGTTCATGGGCGGCGGTAGTCACTTACCATCAGCCGCATGCTCGTTTGCCCCCTGTCCGATAAAAAAAATATATATATTCATTAAATATTATTTCACAGAAAAATCACGAGCATTCAATCACTCAGCCTGGTATGGATAGGATCCTTACCAGGCTGAGTGATTTTTAGTTATGACATACAACCAACAGGAAGAATCCACGTATAAGTTCCATAAGCGCCATCTCGGACAACAATCGCTAGGTATTTTCAGGATTTATGAAATATGGGACGAAAAGTTACTTGAGATGGACATTTTTTAGTTAAACAAACAAACTCGCAGAATACCAGCGTAAATTGGCAGCTTGACATTGCTGTGTTTCATATGGTGAGTGTAGAGAACCGGAGACCCATTTTACTGAAAAAGAGGCATTCTATCTTAGTCCTCACGGGTTACGACGCATCTGCATTTTGATTATTTATTGAGGATAGATGTAGATGTCTATGGATCATAGCAACCACTTACTACCAGGTGGACTGTGTGCTCGTTTGTCATCCTATCCTATAAATAAAAAAGACTTGTTCACTTGATGATAAGTAGCTGTACTGCTGCCCGTGGACTTCAGCCATCTTTTTTTTTTTTTTTTTTTTAATTTATTCAGGACAACAAACAATTACATAATAATGCTTAAACCAAATAACATTTTATAAATAACATTAGTCATTATGTAACCAGCACCGTTATCCACAAAGTAATATTAAATTGGTAACAGTAAATAATAAATGCACAATAAACAGAGTATAAGTAAAAAAGGGAAAATAAAATTGACAGTATTCAGTAACATAAAAATCAAAATGAGACAAAAGGGAAAAAAAATTGCTAACAGTACAAATTTATCTTGTAAAATATTTTAAGATACTATTGAATGTCTACCAACTTTCTTAGAACGTTCTTGCGAAATTGTAACTGTGATGAGGTGAATAGATCAATATTTGAAAAATGCATGTTATATACTTTCATAATACGTCTTAATGGGGCACGTTCACCTGCATTGGTTTTACATAGTTTAGGTGCAAACAATTTATGTGTATACACGTCTCTAATGCGTTGAGAACGACTAGGGACACGGATATATATTTTGTTAAGTAATTCACTACAATCTGAATCATTTCGAATTATTTTGAATAATAGTATTACATCAAAGTATATTCTTCTTGCTTTTAAAGTATGAATTGAAAACTTTTTTAATAAGTTGCGATACGATGATTTAGCGTGGTAACATTTGTAATTTATAAAACGAAGAAACTTTGCTTGTAATGATTCTAGAAGTTCACCGTATTTATTATAATAGGGATTCCATACTTGCGTTGCATATTCAATTTGTGGTCTGATAAGTGATTTGAAAAGTAGTAAATAAGATGAGGAGCTTTTAAAAAAATTACACGTTCGTGCAACAATTCCGTACATTTGATACGCTTTATTTGTTACATGGCTGATATGAGCATTAAAGGTTAGATTTGAATCATAAAGGATGCCTAAATCTTTTATTAATGATACTTTTTCTAAGGGACTGTTAAGTAGGGAATATATGTAATTGTAGGTTTTTACGTTTTTGGTGAAAGAAATAGATTTACATTTAGGGATGCTTAATTGCAATTTATTGATTAGACAGTAGTTAGATAACCGGTCAAGATCTTCCTGTAGCTTCTCACAATCATTAAGGGACTTTACACTTCGATAAACTTTCAGGTCATCTGCATATAACAAAAAATTACTATTTATAAAACAATACTGAATATCATTTATATACAATGTGAAGAGCATCGGACCTAGTATAGATCCCTGTGGTACACCTGAGGATACTAATTTTTCGCTAGAGGAGAATCCGTTAACCACAACTTTTTGGGTTCTATTAATAATGTACGAAGAGAACCACCGCAATAAGTTTCCACGTATACCATTGAACGCAAGTTTTTGGAGAAAGATGGAATGATCCACCTTATCAAAGGCTTTACAAAAGTCTGTGTAAACAGTATCAGTTTGTATTCGATTGTCCATATTATCAAACAGAAAGTTTGTATATAAAATAAGATTACTGATGGTCGATCGGTGTTTTACGAAACCATGTTGTTCTGGAATTAGTAAGTTGTGTAAACTCGGATAAATTGAGTTATGTACTAAGCGTTCAAGGACTTTTGATAAGGCAGAAAGTAAGGAAATAGGTCTATAATTAGTCACATCAGTTTTAGAACCGTTTTTAAACACTGGGGTTATATTCGCAGATTTCCAGACTGTGGGCACTAAACCTTCACGCAAACTGCGGTTATACAAATAGAACAGAGGTACGCTTATTGAGCTAGCAGTATGTTTGAGGAAAAAAGGTGAGATACCGTCTGGTCCTGAACTTTTAGTTATATCTAAGTTTTTTAGACATTGTTCTATAGTGTTTTTTGAAAATGATATATCTGAGATAATAAAGTTAGTGTTTGATGAGCAAGGAAGTGAATCTATGTCGTACGTCATCAGTGAGCTGTTCTCATAAACTGAAGTAAAATAGTTAGAAAAAAATTCACATATGTCCTCAGGATTATCGGTTTCATTTCCATTGTGAAACATTACGTTGGGAATACCACATTTTTTTTTATTGTTTACAAAAGACCAAAATACTTTGATGTCTTTCTGCAAACTTGTTTCAATTTTACTTAAATATGAATTAAAGCATTGCGCGGAAAGTTGTTTAAATCTTTTTCGCAGTACAGAGTATTCCTCATAGTCTAATTGGTTAGAAAATTTTTTCCACCTTATCCATGATTTTTCTTTATTTTTAAATATGTGTATTAGTGGACGTGTAAACCATATTGGAAACTTTTTAGATTTGATTGGACGTAAAGGTACGTGTTTCCTAATGATTTTATATATCTCCTCATAAAAGTGGTTGGTGGCAGTGTCTAAGGACGGCACCTCTAAAATACTTGCCCAGTCTACACGTTTAATATCGTCATTAATATCTGCATATTTACCCTCGGAGAATCGATATTTTGGTAAAGTTTTACGCGCCAATTGCATGTATTCTACGTTAAAAAATATCTCGGCGTTAAGTGGTGGATGGAAGACGTCTATTGGAACTAAAGAGTTTAGTGGTGACTTACAAGTACTTGTATCATTATTTGAAATGAAAAGATCTAAGATGCGATTCTTATTATTTTTAATTAAATTAAATTGTTTGCAGCCTACAATTGATAAAAAATTTGAAACGAGCAAAGTCATTGGATTTTTGCAGTAATGTGTATTTGGAGTACATGTATTCCCGTCACACTGCAGCCACTCAATGTGGGGTAGATTAAAGTCCCCGAAAATATATATTTTTGTATTTTCGTTACACATAATGTATTCGTTACACATACACATATGTAGGTATCGCTAGTGACATACGTAACATCAGCTCTCGAGTTTTTTATAATTTAAAATTATTAATAATACAAAAGTTAATAAAAAAGTGTGTACAAATTAACAAGTAATCAGTAAATAAGTGCGATTAATGTTATCTTCGTCAACAACCAGCGATTTACGTGGAAATACGGAATTCAAAACCATCACATACAACGACCGTTACGTCAAATTTGAAACAAAGAAAGTTGGAGACAGAAACTATATTTAAACCTAACAAGTAGTAAGTAAAGTATCGGAAACAAAAGTAAGTAAAATAAAACGTAAATAAAACACAATTATTAGAGATATTAACGTATAAAATTGACATTAAATGTCATTAAACAAAGAACAGCTGACCAACAATTAAAATATATAGTAACACATTAACGGTTTGAATATACAATCTACAACTTTATTTGAAATTGAAAATGGATAATATTACTATCCGAAAGAAAACACTCTCTAAACAAATGTCTGAATCAAATCTACAAGAAATATTAAATGATTCCTTTTTAAGTTTATCCAGCTCAAGTTACACGGATTTATCTACAAAGACAAGTCAACATATATCTACTCCAAATACTTCAATAGTGTTAATTGAGAATCAAGAGATAAACAAATTACAAACCGAATTAATATCCGCACAAGAATCTATCCATAACCTAACAAAACAATGTTATAATCTTAGACAGACCTTACACGAAAGTGAGAAAAAAGTGCAGAATTTGATTAGTCTAATATTAAATACTAAATCAGATAAAACATTAACAGGAACAACGTTGAACAAAACGCCTATAAAACAGACAATAACAAATATAAGTATTAAAACACCACGGCACTCACCTTTAAAATACTACAATGAAAATATATTTATTCACAACACTTATCCTAAAATTAAACAGAAAACATTTACTAACTTACAAAAAAAACACAATTCTCAAAACTTTACTATAGATAATATGGGTTTGGACAAAAATACTTTGAACTACAACATTACTAAGTCACTAATATTAAATAAAGAATGTGACGGTACCGACAAAAATAAAATTATTACTAATTGTCAACAAACCATAACAGATGTCAGCACAAAGGTAATAAAACGTAAAATTATAATTATGGGTGATGAACGCGTTAGAAATTTGTCTTTAGGTATGCTGGAAAAACGAAAAAATAAGTGGAATGACTCTTATGAAATATTTGGCTTGACAAAACCGCATGCTTCTTCCAGCGAAATATTAAGCAGTTGTGAAAGTTTTATACAATCTATGAATCATGAAGATATATTAATATTGGGCTTAGGTTCCAACGACAAAAATCCATATCAACTTATTTCAGGTTTACTAGACTTAATGGGTAAATTAAAAAATAACAAAGTATTTATTCTAAATGTTAGATATAACCGTTGCCTAAATGAAAAATTATTAAACGCACAAATAAAGCTATTTTTAAGAGGCTATAAAAATTGTTCATATATTGATATTGACGAAGATTACAAATATTATAATTCAAGAATTAATTATATTGAAAATTTAATAAATAAAATAAACATAGGAATTGACAGTATCGAATACTCGAATACATTTTTAAATACAAAAAAGATCTAAGAAAGGCTTTCTTCGTCAAAAAAATGCGGTTTGTTAAAAAACAAACGAAATAAATCAAATCAAGTAAAAAAAGGTACAATTCCATATTATTTTAAAAAGACAATAAATGAAAACACTTTAAAACTGAACAGTGAGGATACATCAAATAGTAATATATTACCGAACAATGAAAACTTTTCATCGAATCCAAATTTTTTTCGTCCCTAAATCCAGATATTTGACAATATTACATCAAAACATAGCCGGAGCCATAAATAAGTCAGAAGAGCTGTACTTGGCAATATCTCAATTAAGTAAGTCCCACATTATTGACATTATATGCTTATGTGAAACATTTATTAGAAAAGGAAATGAGAAGCTACTTAAATTACCAGGATATAAATTGATATCATCGTTTTCTCGCAAACAAAAAAGAGGTGGAACATGCATTCTGGTCAAAGAGGACATTTCATGTATTAATCTAGACTTAATAAAGGATCTTGGTTGTAATTTATTCTTTGAGTGTTGTGGTATAGAGTTAAAACACTTAAATACAGTGATAATTTGTGTTTATAGAATTCCAAGTCAAAGTATAGAGATTTTTATTGAAAAACTTCAAACACTACAAAAAATTGCAACTAAAAATAAAAAAATAATAATATGCGGTGATTGGAATATTGATATTCTTAAAAAAACTAAGTTTTCAGATGAACTTAATACATTACTTCAGAACTATAATATTGAATGTTTAATAAAAACACCTACTAGGAAAAATTCATGCATAGATCAAATAGCGACAAATATAAAAAGAGGCGTAACAGCAGAAGTACTTCATCTTGGTTTATCAGATCACGAAACTGCACAGATATTAAAAGTAAATATGATTAAACCCAAAGTAAATGTGTCCTGGTTTGAAACAAAAAGAGATTACAGTAAGCAGAATATACGTAAATTTTGTGAGTGCATGGCATCATTGAGTTTCTCTGAAATACATGAATTTAATATCTTAAATGAATGCTTTAATACTTTTTATGAATTATTCCAACTGTTTTACAATCTCTGTTTCCCATTTGTTAAGATAAAGAGAAACACAGGAAAACCTAATATTAATTGGATAACCAAAGGATTGAAGAAATGTTGTGTACGAAAGCGACTGCTATATTTAAAAAGTATATATTACAGGAAAACATTTACAAATAGTTGGGGTTATTATATAAAATACAAAAATATTCTAAAAAGGTGCATTCTTAAGTCAAAACAAATTCAATGTGAAGAATTTATTAAATTATCAAAAAATAAAAATAAGGCTTTATGGCATATGATATCTAATAATATTAATGACGAAAACAATATTAAAGAAATAGAAAAGATTGTAGTCAATAATAATGTATACAACTCAATGAATGATATATGTGAACAATTTAATAACTTTTTTATTAACAAAACAAATCAAACAAATTTTAATTATGAAGCAACTGAAATAAAAACAACATTGACTACGGAAAAATGTAATACAATATTCTTGACACCAACAAGCAGTGACGAAATTTTAAAAGTAATAAAATCCCTAAATAACACGAATTCCGTAGGAACAAGCAAGCAGTGACGAAATTTTAAAAGTAATAAAATCCCTAAATAACACGAATTCCGTAGGAACAGACGGTATAAGTACAAAAATACTAAAGGCTTCCAGTGTACATATTTGCAAACCGTTATCCTTTCTTGTCAATTTATCTATGGAGCAAGGAACTTTTCCTCATGTTCTAAAAACATCAGTTATCTTCGTTATATCTTTTTTATATAAAACCGTTATATAAAAAAGATGATCCAAATGATATTAAAAACTACAGACCGATAGCACTAATTCCAGTTTTATCTAAGATATTTGAAAAGGTAATTTTAGAAAGATTTCAAAATTATGTTGATAAAAACAAAATATTATGTCGGGAACAGTTTGGATTTAGAAAAAATAGTTCTACTTCTTTAGCATGCTTCGACATGGTAAAAGAAATAATTCAAGCCTTTATTGAAAAAAAACCAGCAGCCACTATATTCTTAGATATGAGCAAAGCATTTGATTTTGTGGACCATCAATTACTCTTGTTTAAGTTGGAGAAATATGGCATAAGAGGAATTGCTAAAGAATGGGTTGCAAGTTACTTAAATGATAGATATCAGTATGTGGAGATTCATAAAATGATAAATCAAACACGAAACTCATATAGGTCAGAGAAAAAAGTTAATAAATCAGGTGTACCACAAGGAAGTGTGCTCGGTCCATTTTTATTCCTCTTATATATTAACGATTTACCGAGATCAGTAAAACACAAAACAGTTTTATTTGCAGACGACACGACGATTATTATTAAATGCACGGACAAAAATACATATGAGAGAGATATAAATACAGCATTACATAATATAGTAAAATGGTTACAAAATAATAATCTGAAAATAAACTTAGTAAAAACAAAAATAATTCAATATTATACAAAGAATTGCACCAAAATTAATCTAGACATAAAATGTAATGATCAAGTAATCGAACAGGTAAAACACCATAAATTCTTAGGTGTTCTGGTAGACGAAGGTCTAAAATGGGACAGTCATATTGAATATACTTGTAATAGGTTAAATCGTTTCGTTTACGTATTACGTCGCCTAAGAGATACTGTATCTATGAATGCTGCAATAAATGCCTACCATGCATATATATCGTCGATACTCTCTTACGGAATAATTCTTTGGGGACAGTCTTGCGAGGTGCGGAAAGTATTTGTAGCACAAAAGAAATGTATCCGGGCCTTGTGCGGATTACATCAAAGGGACAGTTGCAAACCAATGTTCGGTAAATTACGTATCCTTACACTAACCTGCATATATATAAGAGAAGTATGTTTATTTGTTAAATACCACCCAGAATATTTTAAAAAGAAAGGAGAAGTAAATTCGCATATGTTAACGAGGTATCAAAATAAACTGCACTTTCCAACATGTAGAATAAATCAAGCAAAAAATAGTGTGATATTTATGACTATTACAATATATAATAAAATACCGGATAACTTTAAGAATCTCCCAGTAAATATATTCAAGAAGAAACTGACGAAATGGTTAATGGAGAAACAATTTTATGATATTCAAGAACTTATTACATTGCGGAATCTGTGAAGGAATTAGTGACGTTTAACAATAGTGACGCGAAGAATCTGTGTAGTGTTGGTGTAGTGTAATTTAATTAACTTATTTCCATTTAAATATTTGCACACCCAAATAGTGGGTAGAATGTATTAGCGCCTTAATATTGCAACAACACCTTTTTTGTAACTACATTCTTGTAAATAAATGAAATTTGAATTTGAATTTGAATTTGAATTTGAATAAGCTCATTTTGGAGAGAGTTAAAAAATAATTGATAAGCAGTTAAAGGTTGATTTGGTGGTATGTAAACACCGCCAACAGCGTGATATTCGTTATGTTGCTTAGAATAAAACTTAAGTATCACATAGTCAATATTTGATGGGACATTTATAATTTCGTCTTCACAGTGAAAAGTGGGCTTTAAAATACATCGAGTGCCATTTAGCACCCTGCGCACCGCAATCAATACACCTCCACCGTCTGTTTTACCACATAACTCTCGATTTCGATCGCATCGGTAAACTACATAACGCGAATCAATGAATTCACTATCTGCAATATTCGAGGTCAACCACGTTTCCGTGAGAATTATTATATCATAATGGTCCAACAGTATATTATTGAATAAAGTACTCAACTTTGTCCTCAAACCTCTACAATTCTGATAGTATACCTGTATTTTATAAGCCATCTTCATAAATAGTATACGTTTTAAGAATTACTAGCAATAATTTAAAAAAAGAAAAACATATGAAAAAGTGTAAAATTCTAAATAAAAAACATATGGAACTATATATCGCAAAAATTTGTTCGTGTACAAGATTGTTTAAAAGTAATTTAGTTGGTAATAATTGTATTATGCTATTTGTTAGAAAACGTAAATCGTGAATTGTATTAAAATGTAAACACAAAACAGTCATTGTGACGGTGACCGCAGAAAAATATATGTGGTAAAAGAATTGTCCCAGTCGTAAACAACACATAGAGTAATGCAACACTAAGATCTTGCAAATAAATCTTATAAGAAGACGTACCTTGTTCATATTATTATTTTCAAATTTGTTATGTGGTATCATTATGTTTACTTTTCGATAATTGATATTGTTATCTTTGTATAGCATAAATAGCAGATGTTTCGCTTGCACAAACCTATTACTAATAACTATTTCACAAGTAAATCCATCATTTGGTATCCTTTGGTTTAATTTTCGATAATATATCTTGTTCCCTTCGTATAGCAAAAATAGCAGATGTTTCGCTTGCACGAACCAGTACAGTTCCGCGCTTGATCCACACAAATCTATATCCGTTCTGTTTTGCTGCTTCACGAGTTTGACGAAACAAATTCTTACTTTGAATAGTTAAGTGCTCATTGATATATATATTTTGAACGGCTCCATGCATATTTATTTGCTCTGTTGTGATTCCTTTTGATAGTCTTGCTGCAGAAACAAAGTTGTCACGCGTTGCTTGATTGAAAAATTTTACAATTACATTCTTCGGGCGTGAAATCTTAGGGTTCATATGAGGTACACGATGAATTGTAACTATGTCTTTAGTAGAAATTGGTTGCTTTATGACTTTAGCAATATTCTCCAATATTTGTATTAAGTTCTCGCTTCGTTTTTCAGGCAGATTACTTATCTCAATATTACAATTTCGAGATTTTTGTTCAAATTCAGCCAGTTTAGTTTCTAATTCAGAGATACGTGCTTCGAAGACCGGTGTGGATTTCAGCTGCTGTTCTATTCTAGATACGCGCTTGCTGACATCATGAGTTCTTTTGTCTAAATCATCGTATTTGTCACTGATAAATTTCAGCGTGGTTTTAATTTCGTCGAAGTCATTAAGAAGGGTATTAAATTTTGTTTCTTGTTTTGAGAACCAGGAATCAAGCCTGTTAAGTAAACTGCTTTGAAGAGTTTTAAATTCTTGTTGTAGATCGGAAATTGCAGGAATCACGCTACGCACGCCTTTCCGAAATGTTATATATGGAGGAGGTGATTCATTTTCAATAAATGACTCGTTAACACTCATTTCTCCGGGTCTTAAATCTTGTTCAGTTTCACACTCTTGCGTAAATGTACTGTTTACAGTTGTCATGTTTATAACTTGACCGCTCTGTTATGAAATTAATCTGTGCAAAATCTCCACGATGCGCTCGAGTGATGTCGATATAGCGTTAACGTTAAACTCCGATGCTTTACACGAGACTCACACATACGCACGGCACAATGCAATTAGTTAAACGGCCGACTCGCGCCGACGCTTGAGACGGAATGAAATCTTTTAACAAATAAGGCTACAGATGTGTAGTCCCTGAGGACTAAGGTATTGCTTCAGAGGGATAGGACCCTTAAGACCAGAAAACAGCAGTGCAGGTACTGCTTCTATGCGATAGCGATAGGAAAAAAATTGGTATTTAGCCAGACGAACTCCTAGGCAGAACAAGATCCCTGCCATCTTTAGGTGCCACCACCGTCAGTAATTAAGTTCATTGAACATAATATTATTGTGTAAAGATCTTCCAACAATCCAACAATCACTCTCTGTATAGAATGATGTTTTCATCTTTGATATTGATATTGTACTTTTATAGTAAATACTTTTATACGTGGTAGAGCCATACTGCAGCTATATTTCTGGTACAGTTGTAACACGAATGGATCGGCTCGACCGGGAAAGGACCACACTCTCACAGAATACCAGCGTAAAATAGCAGCTTAATGCTGCTGTGTTTCGTATGGTGAGTGTAGCGAACCGGAGACCATTTTTACTGGAAACGAGGCATTCCATCTTAGTCCTCACGGGTGACAACGCATCTGCATTTTGGTTCATAATCGAAGATAAATGTAGATGTCTATGGGCCACAGCAACCACTTACCATCAGATGGACTGTGTGCTCGTTTGTACCACCCTTTTCTTATAAAAAATAGTATAAAAATGTTCATCAAAGTAGCAAAATTAGAAAAAAAAATACTTCTTTAAAACTCTAGCTTATTTCTTTAATAACCCTTAAAAGATGCATTAAATTCATAATCAGTCTATGTATGTTCTATGGCGGATTCTGGTTTTTTTTTTCATCTTCATTTAATGCCGAAATTCGCTCTATAGAAGTGACATTAATTCATACAACGACAGAGGGAGATGTGTGTAGCCATCCATCCAATACAACCCATAAAATTTCCTGATGAACATGTTTCCCCATAGATGGCCTCAGAGGGGAAATTTTGCAACAGTTACCACGCGTGGCATGCGGATTGGCAACTTTTTTTTTTGCTATTAAAAAGACACTGCTGCCCATCTCCTGGTTTGTTTGTTTAAAAATATATAATTTTAACATCATATATTTTTGAAATTCTTACATTGTATTTTTGATAAAGAATTTAAATAAAAAAATGAATGGAAGGGTATTTAAACATAGAACCGAACTACTTTGAAGATTTATCATCACCCTATGAATACCCCGTGACATATGAACTAATTGTAGACTGTTGTTGAGTGGCTGCTTAGTCCATGTAGTTAATATGAAGAAAGAAAGCAACGGGTGCTTTTTTATTTTTGAGTCCTATCTGGAACTGCTATGGTTTTCAATACTCTTTAAACCTAAATACAATTATGACTGCAACTCCATGTCAGCAGTAAAAGGTAGGAATGCAATACTCGTACCTTTCCTTCAGATTCCTGGGTAGAAGAAGTTTAGTTGGTGTATTGCGGGTAACATGACACAAAAATAGTAAATGTAGTTTTTTTATAAGATTGACGGGACCCACGTACTAACTACCCTCCTGATGGCAGGTGGCCACTATAGTCCAAGATACTTTAAAGCTTACCATAAAACAAAGAGGCTACAGATGCGTTGTGTCAGAGGTGACTGAGGAGAATGCTCGGTTACCCTTTCATATGTGGTACAGCCACACTGCAGCTGTGAATAGAACGGCTCGATAGGGGAATGACAACGTTCTCACAGAATATAAGCGAAAAAAAGGAAATTTATTCAGAATTAAGCTACTGCCCGACTGTAAACTCGTTTTTAACCCTATGTGTGCTTTATTCCGTAAAAGAAATAGTATAAAGGGTATCTATAACGGTGGTAGAGCCACGTGGCAGCTTTTGCTGTTGCACGTATGGGCCGGCTCGAACCGGGGTGGTACCACGAACTCACAGAAAACCAGCTTGAAGTAGAGGTTTACCTCTGCGTTTCGCTTGGTGAGTGCAGGTGGCCGGAGGCCCTTTTTACTGGAAATGAGGCATTCCATCTTAGTCGTCACGGGTGACAACGCATCTAGTCGGGTCGGGTTAGTACCACGACCTTACAGAATACCGGCGTGAAGTGGAAGCTCTGGTTCTGCGTTTCGTCTGGTGAGTGCAGGTGGCTGGAGGCCCAATTACTCCCCCCCCCCCCAATGAACCATGTTCATGTGGGGGAGTAATATATATACATAGCGGTATTAAATTCTACCACATGAAAGACTACCCCAGGAGGGTACCAGTAATCCTGGAGAATCCCTCGCTGAGCATCCACGAACAAGCTACTCTACTCCTGAGCGTTGGTGCTCCGGCTTTCCCGCGTATTCTGGGGAAGGAGTGGGAGGGGGGCGCAAAATTAAGCTTAAAACAATAACCAGTCGGGGCAAACTGAGCAACAAGATTAAGGCGACCCCTGCCACGCCATCAGTGAATTTCTGCAACATCAGGGGGCTTCACTCGAAACTAAACGCTGTCTATTACCATCTTGAGACAGCAAAGCCGGCCTTGCTTTTTCTGACCGTGATGCAGGTGTTTTCTCCCGCTGATACTTTGTATCTCTCCTACCCGGGGTACAAATTGGACTCCTTTGTGCCTCGGGCTGGAGTTTGCTTATACGTCAGAGAGGACATCTGTTCTCGACGTCTCGGCAGTCTTGAAGGTTCGGACCCATCCATCCTTTGGCTACGCGTAGACAGCGACGTCCATCCACGCGTCTACGGGTCCCCGTATAGGTCCCATAGCGGTAATGCCGAAACAGACCGATTCATCGACCACGTCCAAATAGCTACAGATTCCTTGCTACAACAGGTCCCATCCTCAAACATCGTAATTCTTGGCGATTTTAACGCCCACCACGCCGAATAGCTCGGTTCACGTTCAACCGATCATGCGGGGAGATCTGTTTATGACTTTGCTTTTGAATATGGTGTTACACAGCTGATTACTTCGCCTACGTGGATTTCAGATATGGAGGATCCTACACCTTCCCTGTTGGACCTTCTGCTGACCTCTCATACGGACGTATATCAGGTTTCCGTTGACGCTCCTTTAGGCTCGTCGGATCATTGTCTGGTCTGGAGTGTGGTGCCACTCACACTAACGTCATGGTTGCATTCTGCACGCTAGTGCCTTGCTTGGCACTATAGGTCGGCCGATTGGGATAGGATGTGGTCTTTTTGCATCCTACCCTTGGGGGCGGGTTATATCGAGTGACGTGCAGTTTCGTGGTTACTTGGAAGAAAAGGTCAAATTGGCCACTAAAAAGCTCGGCATGCTCAGCAGCGCGGGACAGAACTTCATGCCGGCACATCGCGTGTAACTTTACAAGCGCGAGTTCGGCCTCACATGGAATAATGTTCCCATCTCTGGGCTGGGGCTACTCAGTTCCAGCTCCTTCCATTTGACCGCATCCAGCGCAAAACGGCTCGAGTCCTTTCCAATCGACTCGATTCACTGGCGCTGCGAAGAGGTGTTGCATCCCTTTGCATTTTCTTGCGCATTTATTACGGGTAGTGCACTGAGGAATTGTTCGGATTAATCTCAGCCGCCAAATTTCACGAACGCACAAAGTGGCAAAACTTCCCATACCATCCACACCATCTGGATGCTTGGCGATTCACCGCTGTACGTTTCACTAGGCGTTTTCTTCCGCGTACGATTTCTCTATGGAATAATTTACCACCGGCGATTTTTCCGGACCGATAACACTTAGGGAGCTTCAAAAAAAGAGCTTACTCCTTTTAAAAAGGCCGTACGCAGGTACGTAGCCGGCCGGCAATACTAAGGGAATTGCAGAATTCCCTTAGTATTGCAGTTGTTAATGGGCGGCAGTAGTCAGTTATCATCAGATGAGACGTTTGCCTCCTCTCCTATAAAAAATCTTTCAGAAAAAACGATCTCGGTACTCTTATATATTCTTAATGGACGATAGATGTGGACCACAGCATCCATTTATGATCAGTTTAACTTTATTCTATATAAAAAAGGCTAAGAAATACGTCCTTATATAATGCATAACATAACTTAATATTTGAATTGAATCAGGTAGTTTGGTAATGGTCGTAGCGAATGCGTTAGTTAAGTCTAATAAGAGTAAATTTCCCAGTAGAAGGCAGTAACAAGCGTGTCGAGGCATGGCTCTATAAGCAGTCACGGCTACAGCTCGTCTCCACTCTCCACCATGCACACGCTGTTTTACATCTCCCTGTTGCTCTCTGCAGCCGTCCTTGTAAACGGAAATGGCATGTTCTTCAAGGTGAAAAATACCAAAGGCAAGTTGTTTTTACAAAGAATATCGAAGTGTATTTATTTTTAAAGCTCATTCCAATATTAATTTCGACAGGATATGTATACAGCAAACCTAACAGAGTTTTGGGACCATACTACATACCGGACAAGCAATGTTCTGGCGTATTACAAAATGTAAGTACAAAGCTGATGTGTTATCATAACAATTATCAGTCCTTAAAGAGTCTACTTACTTTACCCGTGTAGTGGCGATGTAAGAATATTTACTACTCCATATCATTGGGTTGGCAATCCCCCCCCCATAAGGCAACGTATGGGAAGGCCTGTGTTCAGCAGTGGACTGTATAGCTCGGAGAACATTGTTATTGTAATCGAAATTGGGTGGCCAATGTGTGTTTGACAGATTTTGCGCATCTTTTATATTACTGTTTACCATTATGGGTATTTTATCATATAGAAATAAAACAATCATGTCTTGAAATACATAAGTATTTCAACATCTACAAAATCTACTTCAAAATTCAGGTGCGTTGCCGAATTAAAAAAAATAGAGTAGGCTCTTTTCGTGAAGGTCCTTAAGTGGTATTGGTCCGTAAAAATCGCTG